GGAGCCTGTGGTGTGTCCTACCTGCCTGTATCCCTCTGGCCTTCAGCTTCCACAAGACAAGACTGGGGGCGCTTCTGAAAACCTCAGGTCTCTCTTCCTCAGTCGGCTGCAGAGTGAATATAAAGACCACCACGGGAAACTCGAGGAGGTGAATATTCTCTGACGTTGCCAAGCACAACCAAGCAGAGAAGAAATAATGGGAGAGAACCAAGACATTTCTCTAGAACTTCTGTAACTGTAATTATATAAAGTCACCTCAGACTAATGATGCATGTGACCATCAGTCTCCATGACTCTGAGACCAAAAGAACTAGACGGTGCCCAGCTACCCTGAGAGGGATCCCATTAGAGAGTCCCAGATAGAGTGGCATAAAGCTCAAAATTATTTAATTAAAAAAAAAAAATGAGTATGCTGGTCAGAAAGAGACTGTATCTCTGGAAAGGAACTCACCCTCCAGGCCAAATTTTCAGCCAAGCAGTAGAAAGGTTTCTAGGTTACAATAACAACATTAGCAAGGTATGCTCACCATGGAATGGCCAATCATTCAAGATCAAAACATATGCCTAAGGACAAAGTTAGGAAGGCATAAGAAGGTGGGTGGAATGCGAAGAGGAAACACAGAGAGAAAACCGGAAACTGTTGTTGCAGGCAGGGGACTGTAATCATTGAGATGAAACAAAGTATATGATTTGTGGAATGCAAAGCTGATGATGTTGTCTGTAAACCTTCTCTTGATTCACCATGAGAAGTTAAAAATAAAAAATAAAGTAAAGCCACCTAACCTTCAAAAGACCTAAATAAACAAAACCAAAGGCAACAGATTGCAAAACGCTGTCTGCAGGAGGCAGCAAGACGGCAAACTAGGCAGAAATGCGGCAGGGCCATCTTGAACTTTTGCCACTGGATAAAACTAGTAAGGAATTATATAGCTGTCATGGCGATCCGGGGCCATCTGCAATGAAAATGAAGATGGGCCGAAAGATCAATGAAGTGAAATACAAACCAGGAATTCCTGCATTCTAATTGGAAATGGCAGGATAAACCCCTAAAGCATTTAATCTTAAAAAATGAAAGCACTGCTAACGTCAAGGTCAACAGTTCAAACCCACCAGCCACCCTCAGGGGGTGGAGGGGGGAGGTGGAAAAGATGAGGCTATCTGCTCCCTTGTAAACAGTTTACAGGGCTGCTATAATTTGGAATCAATTCAATGGCATTGGGTTTAGTTTGGGGCGTTTTTTTGTGGGGGAGGGGGTTCATAATTAATTATAAAAAGAGATGATATCTACTTTAGTGAGTAGCATTTGGGATCTTAGAAGTTCATGAACAGCCATCTAAGATGCAACTATGGTCTTTCCGTGTGTGGAAGAAAGAAGAATGACAATGGAAGATGCCTGGATTCAACTGGTCCAATGGACCGATGGACCACATCAGTCACCATGACTCTGAGACCAGAAGAACTAAATGGTGACTGGCTACCACCACTGACTGGAGTCTTTATGTGGCAGTATGAGCTAATGCACTGGACTGCAAGGTTGGTTTGAACCACAAAGTTGGCAGTTCAAGCTCACCACACACTCCTTGGAAACCTGATTCAGGGTGACTATGAGTTGAAACTGACTCGACAACAGTTAACAGCAACAACAGCCACTCGGAAAGGGATCCCATTAGAAGGTCCCAGATAGAGTGGGAGAAGGTACGGAACAAAACTCAGTATCATAAAAAAGGCCAGGTTTACTGGTCAGAAAGAGACTGGAGGAAGCCAAGACTATGACCCAAGACCACCCTTCAGGTCTGGAAAGGAACTTACCCTCGTGGCCCAAATTTTAGCCAAGCAGGTAGCTAGGTATATGGGGGACTAGGGGTGGAAAATAACAACATTAGCAAGGTATGCTCACCATGGAATGGCCAAACATTCAAGATCAAAAGGCCAACATTTACCTAAGGATGAAGTGGAGAAGAGATGGGAACGTGATTGGAATAGAAACCAGAATGTAAGGATGAAGTGGGATCGCTGTAGTTCCATGGAGGGGACTGTAATTACTGAGATTAAACAAAGTGCATGGTCTGCTGAATTGTGTAAAACTGATAGTGCTCTCTGTAAACCTTCACTCAATTCATAATACAAAGTTTTAAAGAAAGAGAGCGAGAGAGAGAGGACTTGGCGGGGGTATCTGATTCCCTTTAATTTTCACAAGGGAGGAGGAAACTCTCTACTGCTTGGCTGGGTTTGAGAAATCATTGTTACAGACACACAGAACCCAGACAATACTCAGGATTATGGGATTGACGAGGGTTACCATTCAGGATCCAGATCCTGGGTTAGGACAGCTTCTTCTCAGTAATGTTGCTTACAGCCCTCTCTGACCTCTTGTCCCTTCAGCCCCTCAGGCCAGTCTTTGCTCTCGGTGGACAATTGTCACAAAAGTCCCTTAGCTCTGCCAGTTAGTGCCCGGAGGCACTCCACTCCACCGGGAAGCCAGGCGCTGGCTCCCTTCCTCTGTGGGGCGGGAAGCTCACAGCTTCATCTCCTGCTGGTGTCCCGATTCTGCTGCCTCTGAAGTGGCCGCAGCTTCTCACTGTCTCTCACCATGTCCAGTGGTACAGCTGTCGGCTTCGGACATCTGGGTCTAGGAGAACCTCAGCAGATGAATCCCAGAACACAAGATGCGCTATAATCCTGGGTCTTCTTTCTTGGTAAGAGGTTTGTCCCTTCTCTTTGCTAGCCTCGCTTTTATCTCTTGTAAGCAAGGCTGACGACTTGAGTGGGTATCACCCTAATCCCATTAAACAATCAACAAGCCTATCCCTTCCTCATACTTCGGACATATTATTATAAGGGACCAGTCCCTGGAGAAGCACATCATGTTGGGTAAAGTGGGGAGCCTGAGAAAAAGAGGAGACTCGCAATAACATGAATTGGTAAAGTGACGAGAGCAACGGGATCAAATATAGCAACGATTGTGCGGCTGGCGCTGGACCGGGCAGTGTTTCGTTCTGTTGTGGAGAGGGCCGCTATGAGTCAGTACCAACTCGATGGCACCTAACAACAACAATCCTGCCTTGTCAATACAATGATGCCCTATTTGCAACACATACAATGGAGGCCAACCACACCACACTGGGAATCACATGAATGTTTTGGTTTTCCAGTGCATATAAAACATGATGTTTACACTATACCATCATCTATTAAATGAACAGTGTTGTTGTTGTTATGAAGTGCCATTGAAGTGGTTCAGATCCATAGTGACCCTGTATAGAGTATCCGAGGAGTGACTGGTGAGCTTGCACCACCGACCTTGCAGTTCAAATGGCTTTGCAGTCTGGTGCATTTACCCACAGCGCCACACCAGGACTCCAAGTGAGCAATAGTAGTATGATGAAAGAACTTGAAGTATTTGGAGAAGAACCAAAATGTGACACAAAGACCCCAAGTAAGCACACACTGTTGGAACAATGTCACTGATGGACTGCTGCACAGAGGGTTACCACAAATCTTCAATTTATGAAAAATGTGATAAAGCAAAGCATGATAAAATGAGCTAAGTCTGCGGGCTCAGGACTTGAGCATGTCTTACGAGGGGACATGATTCAGTCCACAAAGCGGGTCTCCCAGGGGAGTACTGATTTTACAGGGAGAGCTACACAGTCCTCTCCCATCAAACCAGATGGCTATCCTGGTGATTTCTACATTAGAAGACAACTTTGCTTTCTCTAAGCAGAGGAGGTCTCTTCTTCATGAGGCACTTGGCCTGTATCTGTCTGCAAGCTTGACCTTCCTCCCCCAGGGACCTGACCAAGGCCAGGGTCATGGCTGTAAGGGGTGGGGGGCACCTTACAGGTATTAGGGTGTGCCTCCGTCCTCTTCATCATAGGAGACACCACCCTGCAGGTCTCGTTCTCTGCCAAGACCACTAAAACGGACATGAGAGGCTGAGGTTTCCTAGAGCCCAATGCCCAGTCTTTGGGGAGTCACTGTTCCCCTCTGGCCAGCACCTTCTCCATCATTAACATGAGAACCTGATTCCTCATGAGGGAGCTCAGAGATTCAGGGGAGTAAGAACTATTTGGGGAAAACCTTTGCAGACTGGGGGGACCATTTAAGGACACCTGCCCCACCAAGTTTTTGCTGAAGTACACAGGCTCCACTCTGGGTTCAGCCACAGATACACACCCAAGACTGTTTCTTTTCCAGAACCTTCCAGAACTGTGCTGTGGAGGACCATGCTCAGCCTGCAGACCAGGCCACCTGGGCCCAGATCCCTCCCATCTACTCCCCCAGCACACACACTTTGTGGGAGCTGCAGAGATGAGGCTCTTCCTTCTGACGTGGCCAGGCCCCTGGTGCCCCATCAAGAGCACCAGGTCTCTTCCAAGTCCCCATCTTGGGGATGTGGAGGCTCACAGGGCTTCCTGTGTTCAGGGGCTAGGGTGGGAGGCACAGGGACAAGATGTGACCCCAGGACTTCTGGCTCTGAGAGCTGGTTGTCACAACTGTGCCAGCAAGAGATACAACTTCCTGATAACACTGTGTACCTCCAACCCAGCCCTAGCCCTGTCCCAGCCCAGCCCAGTCCCAGCTCCAGCCCAGGTGAGGAAAATTGGGGAGGGGAGAGAGAATCGGTGAGAAGGGCAGGGCCCTGAGAATCTGCAGAAGGTCGTCTCAGGATGCCCCCTGGCCTGCAGGTCTCTGCACTAATCTCAGAAGCCCCTGAGCCCAGCAGTTTTGAGGCCAGCCAAGGAGACGAGCTGGGGACAAGGTGGGGATGAGCCAGAGACTGTGGTTACCCGTGGCCCAGGTAGATGTCATGCCTGAGGGGACAAGCATCCACCAAGCCTTGGTATAAACCGCCCTGCTTCTCCCCACCAGCCCACACCCCCATGGACAGCACATCTGGAGCTTGTCCAACACCTCCTGATCCCACCTCGGGAGGGAACATTTCAGTGCCAAGAGGACCAGAGCATGAGGTTGGATCCCTTCTGACCCAGACACCTTACCTGGAGCCCGCCTGGCCCCGGGTCTCCTCCTGGGCCAGTGGCTCTCGCTGGCTCTTCTTCGTGGCCTCCTGCCCATCATCCTGCATCCTGTCCTCAGCCTCCTGCTGACCTCCGACATCACCCTTACCTGGCGTGCCACCTCCTGGGTCCACCTGGGACACAGTGTGTGCCAGGTCCTGTGAGGATGAAGGGACTTTGGGTTCCTGCCCATCTGGGGTGTTTTCTGGGGTCAGAGGGGTTATGGAGCCTGAAGGCAGCACCTCAGGGGCAGGTGGGCCACTGTCCAGTCTCTCCACAGGGCCTTTGTGGCAGGCCTTGGCCAGGCCTGGATGAGAAGTATTGATGACATTCTGGGGGGTGCACTTCTGCAAACACTCCATGGCCTCATCCCTGCTGTCCCTGCTGTCCCCGCAGCCCCCACAACACACACAGGAATTCATGAGGCCATTGGTGGTGGCCCGGCTGAGTTGGCCTGGATGCATGTCCACCTTCTCAGCTGTGGGATCTGCAGGAGATGGCCTGCTGCCTGGAGCTTGAGGGGCAGGAGCTGAGTCTGAGGACGTCGGTGATTTAGGGTTGAAGATGACTGTGGCCGAGAGCTTCATGCCCCCTGTCCGGTGAGCAACCATCTGAGCTGTCTCTGCATCATTAGAGCTGGCATCCCAGCCCTCCAGGGACAACTGCGCGTCCAGGCAGCTGCAGGAGTTGGGGCCCGAGAGGCTCCCCATCCGCATTTTGTCGTCTTCATCTTCGATGTTGTTGTTTCGTAAGTCCTCGTCCTTTTCTGATGAAGGCTGGCTGAGCCCTGCCTCACTGCGTTCCCTCACCTGCCCTCGCTCCAGAGGGTGGGCACAAGTGCTACCTGCCCACCCCAAGGGGCCACCTGGGGTCTCTGGCCTGCCAGGGGCCTCTCCCATCCCCTCCACGTCATCCATGAAGAACACCCTCTCCTCTTCATCACTCCCTGGCTCCAGGCACACCCTGGCAGGAGAGGTCTCCCCCCGGGGGCTACCTTCAGCCCCTGGCCTGCGAGCTGGGGACTGGCAGGCACTGGGCGGGGAGAGGAGAGAGGACATCTCATCCCCCGCCTGGTGGACCATGCGATTAAGCTGTTCCAGTTCCTGGTCATCGTACTGCATGGAGCAGGCCAGCTCCGAGTCTGGGGCCTTGGCTTTGCTGGAGAGAGGCTCTGCTGGGCACAGAGGCTCCGGGAAAGTGGGCGCCAGGGCAGGGGGCACCTGGGCATCTGCCCTGATGGGGAACTCCACGTCCTGAGAGATGCAGAGGGTCTTCTCCAGTGTGTGTAACTCCTCATCTGTGAGGGTCTGCAACAAGTCCCTATTGCGATGGGAATAAAAACAAGGATAAAGTCTCAAAGGCCACAGAAGTCCCCTGACCACACAGATCCCCTCTCAGCCAAGAGTGGACACAACACTTGTGATGTTTGTACCCACAGGAAGTCAAGGAGGTATTGCGGGGAGGCACTGGAAGAACGAGGACATGGGATGGGACCGTCTCCACAGACTCTCCGGCCACTGCAGTGGGGAACCCTGGCTGACCCACTGGTACCCATAAGACTCTCCGATGGTTTCTTCCTTTAAAATCATATTCTGAAGCCCTCACTGATTCTTGGCAATGTGCAGCTCCATCAATAATAGCTTCAACCCACCTCCTCCACACACAGAGTGGACAGAGATGGGCAACTTGGGCATTGGATACCCAAATGGGGAAGGAGGGACTACAAAGGCAAGAAGTAACTGGCTTACAAGTTTTCAAGAGGGAACCTAGAGCTAGGGGGCATGGAGGAAGGTGGAATCACCAGTGAGTACTATCCAATTTGTCTAGGTGGAGCTGATGAAATGAAATACAGATGGGTTACGTGCGATACTGTAGTGAATAATGGTCATCAGGATGGATTGTGAGTATTGGAAATGCAAAGGTGGACGTTTTGTGGCAAGGAAGGGAGTGACTGTTTCTCCAGTCTAGGAG